GGCTGGGAGCGGGAGCGGGAGCGGTCGGGGAGCCCCCCCGCCGCCTCCCCCCCGCAGCCGCGTCCCGCACCCGGCTCTCCGCTCTCCCCGCGGAGCTCCGCCGGAGCCCGGCCCGCATTCCTGGCATAACTCGACTCGACCGCAACCACCCTCCTCCTCCCCATCACCCCGCTCCAACGGGGAGGATGAAGCGGCGGCATCCCGTTCTCCCCGCCTTTCGTCGGGCAGCGAAGGCGAAGGGCAAAGCGGTGCCCACCGTCACCGCGCCGCCCGGAAGAAGAAGGAGAGCGGTGGTTGGGAGAGTCCGGCGGATGGCGGCGATGCTGAGGCCGAAGGCTGCGGGAGGGTGGTCCCCCGTCATCCCTTGCCCGTGGTGGCCCGTGTCTCCAAGGTGAACATCCTGCCCTTCGGCAGCCCCGGCGGGTCGCGGAGCAGCAGTCGTTATTCCAGCACGGAGACGCTGAAAGAAGAGGAACAGTTTGGGATCTGTTGGCCCAACCAAGGACGGACTCTCCAGGCGGGTTACGGCGTCTATCGATCCCCCAGTTTTGGGGCGAGCGATGGCCTGGCGTGGGGACAGCCAGCGGTCCGCATCCGTCCCAAGCTGCCACAGGGCACGGCCAAGGCGAAACCGGACTTTGGGAGTGAGAGCCTGCACCAGCCGGGGCTGGAAGGGGAGCGGGCCAAGCACCGCAAGTCCTTGTCCAACCCTGACATCGCCACCGAGACCCTGACGCTCCTCAGCTTCCTCAAATCAGACCTCTCGGAGCTGAAGGTGAAGAAGAAAGGGGTGAGGATCGGCCTTGACGCAGGCTCTGACGGCTGCTCCGGCATCACCAACCCCTCCCCGGGCAGCCGCGGCGCCGCTCAGTCCCCCAACCGCTGGGCGCCGGGCGAGCGGCCAACGCTCAAGGACCTGACGGCCACTTTGCGTCGCGCCAAGTCCTTCACCTGCTCCGAAAAATCGGGGACGCGGCGGCTTTTCCTACAGAGTACCATGAAGCAGAGCTCCTCCGAGCTCCTCCTGGCCACCGCCGACAGCCAGGACCAGGTGGCTTTGGATGGGGGACAACGGGGGGACGAGGATGCTCTCCCCATGGTCATCCAGGACCAGTACATCCAGGAGGCGAGGCAGGTCTTTGAGAAGATCAGCAGGATGGGTTCCCAGCAGGACTACGGCTTCACAGCCGAGCAGAAGGACAGCGGAGGTGTGGAGGGCGCCGAGGTGGTGGCACCGACAGTGACGACGGACGCGACCCTTCGGGGACGGGCGGAGAGCACACGGTGTTTGAAGGAAGGGGAGTCGGAGGAGAACCTCGCTTGCAGGAAATCCGTGGAGGAGCTGTCAGGTCACGAGTCGAGCGTGACAGACGAGGGCATCGTCACGGAGCCGGAGCCCGTGGGGATGCCCTTCCAAGACCTGCATGAAGCCGTGGATGCCTGGACGCTGCCCAACGCTGGGCTGGCAGCCGGTGACAGCGAAACGCCACTGCCAGCTCACCCGGCAGTGGTGGTTGAAGACATTCCAGCTGGCAAATCCGAGACACCGAGCACCCCCGGCAGCTTGCGGCGCCGCCGTAAGTTCCCCTCGGCGGGTGCCAATGGGATGGAGGGTGGCAGCGAGGGTGGCACCGAGCCCTACCGCTCCCTGAGCGACCCCATGCCCCACCGGAGATGCTCGGTGGCGGAGGAGGTGAAGAATTTCTCCGTTGACAGCAACTTCCTGGGCTCGCTGAGCACCAAGGCGGGCATCCCCCAACCTGCCGCCATTGCAGGCAGCGCAGGCAGCGCAGGCAGCGACCTATCGCTCAGCAGTGATGGGCCACGGGACTACAGCAGTCTCATCCGAACCATCGTTAGCCAGCCCGGCGCCATGGCTAAGCTCATCGATGAGAAGGGCAACGGCAAGACCATCAAGAAGAAGTCGTTGAGCGACCCCAGCCGCCGCGGTGAGCTGCCGGCTGGTGCCTTCGAAGGTCCTGGTGAGGCCATCAGCGAGCTGGAGCCCAGCATCCCACCGTCCAGCAGTGAGCCCATCCTCTCGGCACAACCAGCAGTGCCGGGCACTGGCCGCGGCTATGGCTTTGACCCCAAGTTGGCTGATGTGTTGTCCCCTCGCATCGCCCGGCGCAGCTCCAAGAAGCGCTCCAACCGCGCGGCTCACCAGGAAAACCAACCGCCGCCAGCGCCTGCCGTCCTCGCCAAGAGCCGCCTGGCCACCAAGCACGTCCGTCACACCAGCGAGCCTGCCACCTTCGTCCCCATCACCGTCCCCGAGCCGCTTGTCCCCTCCGGCCACCACAGCCACCTCCCCGCACCGGCTGCCAGCCGCTCACCCGGCAAATCCTTCCCGACCCTCCAACCTCCTTCGCTGGAGGATGTCACCAAGCGGTACATGCTGGCCCTCAACTCAGGTGACGCGTCCCCCGGTCCCGGGGATGGACCCTGCTCTCCGCCTGCTGCCCCACCGCCCCGGCTGCCCCGGTGCCCGCGGCCACCCGACGAACACGGCCCCAGGACCAAGCCGCAGGTGGTAAGTGCCCATCCATCCTAAAACTACCTTCATTTCATGGGATGCATGATCCCTCCAAAGCGTTGGTGGCTTTGGGGGTCCCTCACGTGTCCCTCATTAGGGACAAATTCCCATCCGCGGATGCGCTGCCAGATGGCCAAGAGCCTTCCCAGCCCTTTCCGGCTGTCCGGAAGGGGTTGAGCTCTTGTTTGTAAGAGGGACCCCCTCAATAAAAAGGCGATTTTGGGGTGGGAAGAAGCTGTTTTCAGGCTAAATAGCACCAAATTTTGGTGGAAGGTGGTTTTATAGATACATATATTATATGCTATATTTATATATAGCATGTCCTGGCGATGCTATATAAAGTCCTGGTAAACTGGTGTGCTCTCAGCCAGCCCTGAGATGCTGAACCAAAAATTGCCTTTTCCTTAGCAGGGAGGGCTTAAATGTTCCTTTTGCTTGGGGTTCCCTATGTCATACCCTTTATCGAGCAAGTTGGCATTTTCCCCCCCAAAAAATCGCCATCCCTCCGCCCGGGACCATGGGCTTTGCCGTGCTGGCAGCGTGGGAAAAAGGGGGAAAAATATTCTTGTGCATGCGCTGAATATTTTATGAATGGGTAAAGTTTTATCCTGTCTGCGGATGAATTAATGCCACTTGGGGGATGCAAAGGCGGTTTGCTCGCCCCGAAGCGCAGCCACATGCTTTGGGGTCTTTCTTGGGGTGGGTTTTTGGCATTGCCGGCCCCTTGGCTGTTGTTTGAAGATGGACTTGGGTTCCCATCACTCTGGGTGTTTGTGCCGGGAAGCGCTTGGAAGCGCCACCTCCTCCTGCGGCACAGCAGCACCGGCACCCACGGGGCTTTTAATAGCTCCGGGCGAAGCCCAGAAATACCCGTTCCCGCGGGGGATGAGCCGGGAGCTCGCAGGAACGGGGCTGGCAGGGCTCTCTCACCCTGCTTCGATGCCGATTTAAGAGGACGGGCTGGACCGTTCCCTTCCAACAGCCTCCGGCAGCCAAGCGTGAAGTCCCCAGGGCTGAGCCCGGCGGTGTAACCCTTGCTGGCCGGGATAGAGCCGCGTGGAGCAGGGGTGCTTTTCTTTGCACGCACCCGAAACCCAGATCCCTGCAACATCATTTGCCTGGGGTATTCTCTTGGGGTCAGGCATCCCTGTAGCATCTTCCCCCAAGATACTCTCCTGGGGTCCAGCATCCCCACAGCATTATTCCCTGGAGACATTATCTCGGGATCCAGCATCCCCACAGTATCATCCCCCCAAGATATTCTCGTGGGATCCAGCATCCCTGCAGCATCGTTCCCCCAAGATATTCTCTTGGGGTTGGGTATCCCTGCAGCATCATCCCCCCAAGATGTTCTCTTGAGGTCCAGCATCCCCACATCATCATTTCCCCAAGATGTTCTCTTGGGGTCCAGCATCCCTGCAGCATCGTTCCCCCAAGATATTCTCTTGGGGTCAGGTATCCCTGCAGATTCATCTCCCCAAGATGTTCTCCGGGGGCTGGCATCCCCACAGCATCATTCCCCCAAGATGTTCTCTTGAGGTCCAGCACCCTTGCAGCATCATTCCCCCAAGGTATTCTCTTGGGGTCCAGCATCCCTGCAGCATTATTCCCCCAAGGTATTCTCCTGGGGGGCTCTGTCCCCCATCCAGCTCCTTCTCCAGCTGTTGTCCCCATTGCCGGACAACAGCCGTTGGTGGCTGAGAATGGGGAACTCTTGGCTCGTGTGTAAAACATCCTTGGAAATAACTTTGGGTGAATTTTGCAGCGTTTTTGCCTGAGGTACCACTTTAGAGCGAGGTGCTTGCCCTCTCCGATCTCGGGGTGAGAAGTGCTGTTGAAGCGTCAGGTGTTATAATTAAGCGGGGTAATGAGGAACCTCCCGGGGCTGCGGCTGGTGGCACCTCGGGGGTGTTGGCAGGTCCCCGAGGCGAGGCAATGCACCTGGCAGCATTTCTTTATAAAGAAATATCTCTTATTAAATTATTAATATTTCAAGTTTCTATAATAGATGATTTATATTAATAATTTATAAAGAGATATTTCTTATTCGGGAAGCTCCCTGCGGTGCCCCAGGGACAGTGCCCACCCCATGATGGCCCCGGTATCAGGGATGCTTTGCTGACCCCGCACCCCCATACGCCGCCCCAACCCTCATCACTTTGGGATCATTTCGGGTGGATTTTTACCAACTTCGGCACTGGGCTCTGGCAACTGAGAGCCCAGTTTGGCTGAGCATCACCTCAGGGACCTGGGCCACCCCGTGGGGCCAGACCCTGGGGATGCTGCTCCTCACCTTGCTTGAACCCGCCGGCCTCGGCGAAGAGGGTGCAAATTTTCCCTTTTAAGGGCAACGCCACAGCTGTATCTTCAAATCTCTCTCCTGCCTTTGAATTTCTTTGTGCTGCAGCCATAACATAACTGAAACCAGGATTTTTATTTCTCTTTTTGATTTATTATATAGTGGAGCTGGGATGTTTTATTTCAGATGGCACCAGCCAGGGCTGGGGGGGCGGAGGGGGACCGAGCCCTGCAAGGGAGTTGCTTTAATTATAGGCGAGAGCATCGAGGACCGGATATAACTTGGCACCAGGACGGCTGGCTGGGAGCGGAGATTTACATGCTCCCTGACCGACAGCGAAGAAATAAGCTTTATTTTTTATTTATTTTTTTTTCCCCTCCCTAACTCAATGGAGAGGGCCGGTGTCGCGAGGTTGGTTGTCTGCTTGGGGAAGTGGTCGTCGCTGCTTGGGGATTTTGGGGCGTTGGAGCATCGGTCCCGTGTCACGGTGATGGTCCGCCCGTCTTGGTGTCCGTCTCCAGCAGCCGATACTCGGAAGAAATTAATAACGGGGTCTGGCAAGTGTGCAGCGATGCTCCCCCAGAATATTCTCCTGGGGACCAGCATCTCTGCAGCATCATTCCCCCAGAATATTTTCCCAGCCCCCATGGTTTGGGGGTGGCTTTGGCGGAGGTGAGCGCTGCCGGGCCGGCTGTTTGCTGGGTTCGGCAGCCCGGCACGTCCCGGTTGGAAGAGGTAACGTGCTGTTCTCCCTCGGCAGCAGAACTGTTTGTCCTGGGTGCTTTCCAGTGATCCTCCATGGGGCTGGAGCCGGCCAAGCCGTCCTGGGTGCAGAAGAGCTCCTTCACCCTGCGTCTGATGCCGGGCACGAGGCTTTTAATTCCCCAGGAGCCGTTAGCAGCACGTCCCACTCCAGCGCATGGCGCGGGGGCCGCGGGAAGAAAGGATGCTTTCAAGATAGCAAGAAAAAAACCCCTAAAAAACTCAAGACAGAGAAGTTTTTCTGCCTCCAGCATCCCATGAGCCGCTGGGATGGGCAGCACATGCGTGCACACCCATGCACACGTGTGTGCGGGAGCCCAGCACTGAGCAAGGGTGCATTTGGGGTGCATTTGGGGTCCATTTGCTGCTCGGTGAAGGTATGAGTGGGATGCCAGGCTGGGAACCCCTTGCGTCTTTCTTTTCCCTGTGGCCAAATCCAGCATGGGATGGAAAATTAGGTATGTTCGCTGCCATGCTCTGTTTGTTGACTTAGCAGCGGTCGGATTAAACAGGAAAATACTGATTTAAATATAGCACCTCGCGGGAGCGGAGGAGTCGTGGGAACGCGGCCCCCGGCGCCCCGGCCGCTGCCTTTTCCACCTGCTGCTCCCCAAGTGGGGTGGCTGCACCCCGAAAAAGTCATCAGGGATGGAGGGGGATCCCTGGAGGGAAACATCGGGGTCACGTTCCCAGAGACGCTTGCGTAAAACCCCGCCATCCCTCCCGAGCATCCTCCCTCCACACTCGCCCCGGCATGGCTCATCCTCCAGAAGCTCATCCCTGCTTTGGGGACAGCTCGAGGGCCAGATCCACGCACCGGCCATATATTCCTTGGCCAAAGTTTGGCATTTTTGGACCTATTTATCCCTCCATTCCCTTTCCATAAATCTCCATAGAAACCAGGTTTTGGGCCATGGCTGGGAGTTTTCTCATTTTTCGGTGTTAATGGAAATCTATAATTAAAGCCATTGCGTGGGGAGGATGGCGATGGGTAAATCTTGGCGTTGCTCGCCCAGTGCCTGCGCCGATGGTTTGCCCAGCTTTTGCGCCCCTGGCTCTGCCGTGCTCAGCAAAATGCTGGGTTGGGGGGAAACTGAGGCACGCAAGCAGCCCCCGCTGCCCTTCGGAGGGAGGTTGGAGGTGGGATGGAGCGAGGAGAAATTGGCTGGCATCGGGAGGACCCACAGGTGATGGGCACAGACCGACACTGGGACCACCGGCACAGGGCCAAGCAACACGGCCCGGGGGGTGAACCAGCCCAAATCCCCTTAACTCTGCCCATTTTTGCCCCTTTCCTTACCCAGTTCCAAAATCCCCTTAACTCTGCCCATTTTTGCCCCTTCCCTTCCACGGTGCCAGGGCTTTGAACGCCCTAGGGTGACGCAGAGGATGTCTGGTGTCACCCAGAGCCACCCCCTCCTTGCTCCTTGTCCCTTGTCCCCAGTGCCTGCCCTCGCTTTAATTAAAAGCCTCTAATTAATTAAGCAGCAAACTCCACCAGAGGGGATGGACCAGCCGGGATACACATCCTTTGGGCCCAAACACCCCAGGGTAGCACCCCATGGGTGGGGGGGTGCCCTGTGATGGCCGTGGGGCAGGATCTGGCCCCGGAGCGAGAGGGTTAGCGCTGGGCTGAGCTCAGTGCTGGGGGCTGGCCTTGGCCAGCGGCCGCCTGGCCCAAAGGTCAGGCTCTTGGCAGGATGCCGGGGCTGCAGCGAGGGTGGGAGGCTGGGATGGGCTCGGTGTGAGCTCCACTTCCAACCTGCAGAGAGACCCATGGCCCTGGGCAGGTGCTGCATGTGCAGGGGTGCACAGGGAGGTCCCTGGTCCAGGGGTGCACATGCAAGGGTGCACGGAGAGGTCCTCGGTGCAGGGCTGCAGGTGCAGGAGGTCCCTAGTTGCAGAGGTGCACATGCAGGGGTGCATGAGAAGGTCC